GTTGCACTTAACCTGCTGCCGGCCGCGCGCGCGGTCGCCGGCAGCCAATTTGCAGTAAAATTTTAAAGCCTCGCGGCTCAAATTTCACGTGGAGGAGATTGATAGGGAGATTCCCAGATAAGGATGAAGGCATTGGTCATATTAGTTGTGTGTGTGTGTGTGTGTGTGTGTGTGCGCATGCACGCGCGCGCGCGCATAAAGAAGCACTCACGATGCGCGAATCCTGTTAGTATTTGCAGTGTTCTCACGATCTCGACGATGAATCAGCCCCGATCAATAGTACGCGCGACGCCTTCTTCTTCTACGAAAATTGATAAGTGCGGCTCTCTCGAAAATCCTATCGATCTCGACGGCTAATGGCAGCTACACGTGTTCGTACTTCCACTCGTGTCTTACACACGAGTCCCGTATCGAGTTCCAGGAGTGCTTAATTCGACTCGATATCGCTCGATGATCAAGATCCGATCGACGAGGAGATAAAAGTCGCGGGAGCTCGCATCTTAAATATGACTCCTGTCAAAGACCCGCGCGCCGTGATTCGAGAGCCGAGCTTCTACCAAAATGGAAGTGTCAGTGGTTCCGAAAACTCGTTGGAGCAATAAATATTCATTGATTCTTAGGACGCTCGTGAAAGCCGGAGAAGAAGCGGAGTCGGAGTCGGAGGAGGAGGAGGAGGAGTCACGTTGGAGCACGAGCGAGAGGAGCAACCATGTACAAAGGGGGGAGAAAGAAAGAGAGGGGGAGAGGGGGGGAGGGAGAGAGAGAGAGAGAGAGAGAGAGAGAGCACGTAATAAATGCGCCTCACTCGAAACATGAGATCTCGCGGCGAGTCGATAAATCATAGTCTGAGTCGTAAGATTGATTTGGCACAAGCCACAATCCTCAGGATCGATCGGACCAGTCGTCCCAAGGACTCTCTCGATGGAATCGGGGAACGGCCGAGCGAGCCGAAAGCCGGGGGAAAGAAGAAGGGTGAGGAGAAGGGCAAGGAGGAAGATGGACGAAAATCAGCTCGGAAGTGCGATTCTTGGAGCAATCTCTGGACGTGGAGAACGCCTCCCTCTCTCCCTTCCGACCCTTAAAAAGAGGTCGACCTACCTACTACCTGTATCTGACTTCTTGGCAACGATTATCGAGAGAAACGTTGTGGAGGGACTTTGCTCGCCCCCTCGCTCCCTCTCTCTCTCTCTCTCTCTCTCTCTCGACGGGTCTCTCCCCGCTTCTCTTTCTCTCTTTCTCTCAAGTTGCAGGAATGTCAAGAGAGAGGAAGAAAGAAACATGTGAGCGGGTTCGTGAGCGAGAGAAAGAGATACGGAGAGACTGGAAGCGCAAGTGGGAGATTTCAGGGAATCTCGCGCCGTTTCATTTTCCAGGAGCGAGTGAGAGGAAGAGCGGCCGAGCGCGCGAACGAGAAAGAAAGAGGGAAGCCGCGAGAGGGGACACGAGGGAGAAAGAGAACCTTTTCCCGGAATGTCTATGCGATTTCGTACGGATAATAATAACGAGCGAACGCGAGAAAGGTTTATTTGCGGTGCAGCCTCTCGCGCGCGCGCGCGCGCGCGATGCGGATATAAAAAAATGCCAATGTCGCGCGTCCGCTCATTCCATTCGGCGGCCAAATCGCAAGAAGAACACGCGGTGCAGCCGAGGAGAGAGAGAGAGAGAGAGAGAGAGAGAGAGAGAGAGCTTCTTCCGCGTAAATTGAACCATAGAACGTCGATTCGACGAAAATGATTCGAGGCTCTAGGCGTCAGTGTGTACAGATTCGGTCGTTATCAGTCCCGCTGATAAGTTCCACGAAAACGGCGATTATCCGCGCGGTCACCCGCGACGGCGCACATTTTTCTTCTTCTTCTCCTTCTTCCTTTTTCTTCCCAGCCGTTAATCAAAGAATCCGCTCTCAAAGCGCGGCGCGCAATTAATGCATTCGACTTACCGTTAGAGCCTCTTTTCCGAGAACTCTAACGACACGCCGCCGCCGCCGCCGCCGCCGCCGCGAAACACGCGCTGCTTCCACGATTCTCATCGCCTGATCGAGTGCGCACGTACGTACACACACTCGCGCTCGCACACCGTTGCGCCGAAAAGAGAGAGAGAGAGAGAGAGAGAGAGAGGGGGGGGGGAAGGGGACAAAGGAGAGGAAAATAAAAAGAAAACGGACGAAAACAGCGGTCCCTCGATTCGAAAAAGTCGCTAAAAAGCGAACAAAATAGAGCGAGGCCGCGTCACGGTCGCCGGACGGAGGCTTTTTAAGAGCGGGCTCGTGTTTTGTCGCGTCGTTTCGACGCGACGAGAATTCGACATGGGACGCGATCCTTTTCTTCTTTTTCCTCGAGTCGGCCTCGAGCGGTGACGCTTATCGTGTCCTCCTTCGGAACGATAACGGGCGATATCGATTCCGGCTGGAAATTCGTGCGTTTACGTTATCTGCGGTGTTGACGGTGAAATTCACCGAAAACACGGCGTTTATGATAATTTCTCGTTCGGAGAACGCATTATCGTGCGGTAACGATCGATGAGCAAGCAGCTGATAAATGCACGATTTCGTAAGAACGACGTTTTCCTGCGTTCCGTTCAGCTTCCGCGGACGAGTTCCTCCTCCGACCCCAGGGGGATCTCCCCCGCGGGCTTATCGATATTCGGCGCGCGCGTTTATAACCCGGCACGATTACACGGCTCGATTGGAAAGGGGAAAAAACATCTCGCAGAATACGGTTACCACGCGCGAGCACTGCGAGAGCTTTTTTAGCCGCTCGCCGAGAAGAGCGGCGGACTCGGGCGGAAAGGCGGGCCAAAGGAACGAACACGGCCGAGCGGCTACGCTAATTCCGCCAGTTTCGCCTTTATCGGTAATTACATGTCCGCAACACACGCTCTCGGATATACGGCCTCGTTATCGGGAGCAACACGGCGGAAAGACGCGGTACGTGCCACGTGAATACGGACTTCCACGAAACGGTCTTTTAACCGCATTATGCAGATTTTCCGAGATAAACGCGCGTACGAGAACGAAGGGAACGACGAGCGAGAGACAGGACGGGAACGGAGCTTCGTAGAAGCCACCGACGCATCGCGTTTAATCGTCCGCATATACGCTATCGCGCAAAAACGACTTCTCTTGTAAATATCAAGATAATCTCGACAGCCTCCCGCCAACACGCTCGGTTACCGAGAGCGCGACCTTAAATCCCCGACGACGACGACGACTCTCTGCCCGGTCGATCCGGAGAGAGAGAGAGAGAGAGAGAGAGAGAGAGAGCTCGTGCCAGCCGGGAGACGCCGTCACGTTGACGGTGATATTTCACGACCCCGCGTCACGATCTATCCCTCGGCTTCCGAGAGGAGAGCCTCGCGTTGACACATCGCCGCCATGACAGTCCCCGAAATTGGTTTCGGAAATTTTCGTCTTAGTTGCAAGGTTGGCAAGCCTTAACACGTTAAGCGCCGAGCGCTTTGTTGATTTTTCCGTTCTTACGCCACGCGTATACGTATTAATGTTAACAAGAGTATGTAGATACATTTTTCTCTTTTCATAATCTTAAAACTTTTCATTTTTAATACTAGGATATATTACTTGGTAAATTTTGTACTGTTGATCACCGCTGACTTAAAGCACGGCGTTTAACGTTGTTGAACCATACTTAGCTGCTCACCAAAAATTACCAAAGTACAAAGTAATAAAAAATCTATCCATTTCTCCACTTGATATTGTAGAAAATTAAAGCTGAACCAGGTTTGTGAAATAATGCATGGCTGCGGACGTCCCAGCGCAATCAGCTGATTGATTACGGAACGTGTCCAAGTTGGTTTAAAGTCTACCAACCGATTTCGAAACCGATTTCGGAACGAGCCTTGAGTTTGCGAAAAAGTCACGACTTTTTTCCGTCTGCATCGCGACACGGTCTCACCCGGCGGACACGCAAAGAAATTTGTTGCACATCATATTTTGGTGCAATTCAATATTCCTTCAAAAAATTCAGTATTCTATTATTTCTTTAATACACTACGCGACCCAAGTGACGTGGGCGGCAGGTGCGTCAAAGTATGCCTGACGGTGAATGTGTTGTGAAACATCCGAGAATTCCGGCTCCACCGGCGATGCCGAGAGAGTGAGAGGGACTCTCTCGTCTCTGCGCGCCGTCATATTTTTCGAACGCGCCAGCAGCTCGCGGAAAAACATTTTTGGCTACGGCACCGTCGCGCCCCGCCGCGGCAGACGATAACGACAGCGGCGCGTAATACGGTGACGTCCGTTTCGCGGAATACGGTCTGAAAATTTGACGCGCTTCTGCACCAACACCGTCGCGCCGCCCCTACGTCACTCTATTTTCACCGACAGGTGAACGCTTCTTCTTCGGAGAAACGCCCACGTCCGAGTCGGACGTGGTTGCATAATGGCGATTTGACGATAGCGAAATTAGATCGCGAGTTCGCGCGCGCACGTGTGTGTGTGTGTGTGTGTGTATGTGTGCGCGCGCGCACATTAATGCTCCGATTTTTTGCTACGACGATCGACGATAACGCATCGGGAGCCGACGACGATGACGACGATCGGAGACGCGTAGGCAGATTAGGTTAGGCTAGATTGTATCGATTTCGCGAATCTCTGCGTCCTCGAAAGTTAAACGGCGATCGTTTCTCTCAAACAGCAGTCCCGGCAATTTTCTCATTCCTCGAAACGATTTACATTCGCCGGTCGCCATTCGTCGACTCTTTTCTCGTTAACTGTCATTTCGCGAACTCGCATCGAGGCACAATAAATTCTCGGTTAATGCGAGTACGCTATGTGTGTGCGTGTCCGCTTATCTTCGAAACGCTTTCGCCCGATACGCGCGTGCAGTAGACATAAATATTTAACAATAGCGAAATTAAGAGGAAGGGGAAGAGAAAAAGATTGCGCACATTCGAATCGACCGAGATCGACTTCAACTGCAAGATCGTGAAATCGTGAAATCGTCGATCGGTGTCACTCGACAGAAACATGTCTCAAGCTCTCTTACCGAGATGTATCTCGCTTCTCGCCGCCTCTCTCCAGATGTTTTTCTCGTCAAAGTACCCAGGAACCGCGTGCTCCCTCCTCCGAGCAGGAAATTTGTGTCCAAAAACACACGACCGTTCTTATCACATTCCCATAATCATCCTCGACTCGCCATGATCAATCGGCTCATCTGAGTCGCCTTCACTTTCCGGATGAAAGATCCGAGAAAATGACAGATTCGTCGCGCGACGATACCTCTCTCTCTCTCTCTCTCTCTGTCTCTGTCTCTCTCTCTCTCTCTCTCTCTGTCTCTCGCGTATCGCGCGGCCGCTACGAGAAGCACAGCTCTGCTGCACTCGCTCGATCGCGTTCACTCGTCGGTGAGAAGACGGCGGGAAAGAAGAACGGAAACGGCAATCGAAACCGAACGTACTCTCGAACGTAGCGCAGCGCAGGGAACGACGAACGACGACGCACGTATGACCACTGCGAGCGCCGACGAGCGACTGACAGGAGCTCCGGCGCTGAATGAATCTATAATTACGAGCGCGTCTCACGCGGTGGCGCGCTCGTAGGCAGAAACGGCAGAAGGGAGCTCTGGCGAGCGCGCGTGCGATTGGGTGCGCCGCGCCGCGCCGGCGCCGGCGGTGAGGGAAATCATCGAAAGCACGAGTGGTGCAAGGGAGAAGCGCTCGGTTCGCTCGCTCGCTCGCTCGCTCGCTCGCGCATACGCGCGCGCGGCGACGGGTTTTAGACGAAAAGGTTTATACCTCAGGGAAAAGTGGATTCTGTCTAACTGGTTTACGCACATACGCGCGCAACGTAGACCGCGTCGTCGCGGCGCGCTCTCATGCGCGGCATCGGCGTTTCCCTGTACAGCGGATCAGTAAAAAGAAATTTTGACAAGCCGGGGTGCGACGGGGTTATCTTCCACGGAGACGTCGGAGATAACCCTCCGTCGCGCACGGATCGCGTTTCTTTTTATTTTTCTTTTTATAGATCCGCTATTAAGGAAGCGCGATTCGTAAATCTTGCCACTAGGCCGTTATGTAACGACGAGATACGCGGCGCCGCCTCGAGAGTGTTGGTAGATTCGTATTCGAAGCTCCTCTCTCTCTCTCTCTCTCTCTCTCTCTCTCTTTCTCTCTCAAATCAGCACATTCCGAAAACAGAGAAATATTTCAAATGGAGATAAGATTATGTCCAAGTCCGCCGCGTACGACGCGTCTTCTCGCGAAAGTATCCGTCTCAAGCGCGGCCGTGCGAATGTAAATTTAATATCGGGTTGCCCGATACACCTGAATTAGGATCCTTTGAATTATCGTCGGATCTGTATATTTTTAGAATGTATTCCAAGAGACCGATTATTAAGACAGCTTGTCCCGGCCGCGTTGTTCGATGCGACACGTAATCTGAGTTCTGAAAGTTCGACGAATCGCCATCTTTTTCTAGCGCGCAATCTGATATCACACAATTTACGTGCACTCATTGATCCCGTCAAGTCTAAGTCACAAATGTAAGGATAATGAGAGGAGCACGGATAGGAGTTTTCACACACGCGGCCGAGAAGTAAACGCGATATTCCGGAATTAAGCGGAGATGGAACTTTTTACCTCGCGGTCGAAAATAATTGGAATTCTAAAAAAACAAATCACGTCAGACGGTGAAGTCATGGCGACTCATGTGCGTCGCGCAATGAACAATACGTGTGTAGCTCGATTAACAGGGCATCGATGGTGTGCGTGCGTATGTGTGCGGGGATATATATATATATATATTGACGACCACACCGAGAGGATTCCGCATAAGGACATTACCGCGCGACGAAACGAAGGCTTTCAAGGTACTCGCGGTTCTTCTAAATCGACATTAGCCGGAATCGCGGCGCGAACGAAAGCCGAGGCCGATAAAGATCGCCGCCGGCCGGCCGGCCGGCAGTCGGACAGGAAATTATATTCCGGGGAATGCTTGCTTTATAATTGACAATCGCGTGACACGCGAGAAGCGCGTTTATGAACGGAAATTTGTTGACCGTGTTACAAGGCGCGCGCGCGAGCGCGCGCGTAACGTCACTCGGCGGCGGCGCGCTCGACTCCGCTTCGCGTGCGAACGCTTCGGAGGGACATTGATTGACCCAAATCAGAAGTCGGAACTCCCCCGAGCCGATTTTCTCGGTCTAATTCCCGACCGATATCGTTCGTTCGTTCGTTCGTTCGTTCGTGGCACTAATCTCGCCCGACTTCGCTCCGGCATTTCGCATATCGCGAAGTTGTCGCCCGACTTGTTTTCACACTCTGCAACTTTTTCTCCCCAGCGCGATCAGATACAGAACAACTCGCCACGAAGTTGAAATTTCGTCGGCAAAATTACGCTCGCGTCACGCCCGCTCGTGATTTTTGCCCTCCCAACGCTGATCCGGAGGGAGAGGAGGGAGCACTTTAATTAATTAATTTATCGGCGATCCGCGCGCCTGGCACGGCGCTATCGCGAATTTTGATATGCGAGAGGCTGTTCACAGCGCCCCGGCGCTGTGAACAGCCTGGCGTTCTCAAAATCCCCCTTTTCCGCGTATTCTTTCTCTCCGACTCTTACAAGTCCAGGTGCCCGCGGGCTGCATCCGCAGGATCTCGGTTACCATCTGTCTATAGCCGTCTCCTTTCGGCCACAGCCGAATGCCTATCCGTTCGTTCCTCTTTCCGCTATGGCCCAGCCGGACGAGCGACGTTCCTCTCCTCGGGAGGAAACACGAGACAGCGAGCCTGTTTAAGCCCTCCGCCTTCGAAACGAGGAAGATATCGGGGGAGTGTGTGTGGAATCACGCGACGAGGGAAGGAACGCGCTGCGGAAAGATGACCCGAGGAAAGACCGTGTCGGGTACTGTAATGTTTATTGGTGCATTATAAAAAATAAGGAAGCGTATCGTGTTGTCACGCGTATTAAACAGTCGATTGTTCCGAAACTTGAGGAATCTCAACGATCAAGAGGACTTGTTTGCGAGACACTCATATGCGCGTTTATCAACAGATAGAAATGCCAATGATATCGCATAAAGTCGCGCTTCGCTAATCAAGCGCCCTCTGAGAAAATGAGAAATGAGAGAAAGAGAAAAAAACACGTCGGTAATTAAAAAAAAAAACAGTATAAATTCCATTCGACCACGTTTACCTCGAAGTCGAGCGTCAGGGCATTCTGTGTGAACGCGTCTTTAAGCGCTCCTCCGACAAACGGAGGATTTTTCTACGTGCTCTCCGAGAACGGAATGCGCGCTTCTTGAGGTCAAGCGTCTCGTATCCTCGTATCCTCGATCGAGTCGGCTCGACTCGACTCAAGTCTCGAGCGTTCCTTCCCGGTGATGACGTGCACGAGGCGAGGATAAGGCCACGAAGAGATCGTGAACACCTGGTCGTGACTCACGAGCGCTGAAATACAATGTGTTCTGTCCTATGTCTCCCCCCCCTCCCTCCCCCGCCTTACCGGGTGAACGCGCGGGCCGAAACGCTCACGCATGTGCCCGCTCCGGATGTATGCATAAGGTGTTTCTCAATTATAAATAATTGCACTGGCGGGGGGGGGGAGAGGGGAGGACTAGCCGGCTGCTTATCGGAAAGTGGGTTAATTTGCAGCAACATACACGCGCGCACCTTCGTCCCGACAGTTCCTCTTTCCCTGCCGACCGTTCGCATTCGCTTCGAGTGCTGCTGCAACGGTCGAATCGCGCGACTGATGATTCAAGAAAGAAAGAGAAAAAAAAACAGCGGACCGAGTGTCTCATAAATTATTGTTCGCGGCCCGAGAGCTGACCGGTCGTCCCCGGCTTGTCGAACTCGCAGCTCTATCGACAGCAACTATCGTCGGAACTTGAAATTTGTCGCGCCGAAATTGATGAATGTCGCAAGGGGTTCGTTCAGCGATTCGTTCTACGACGTTCTACGCTGTGAGGCGAGCTTAATCGCATATTGTCGCGCAAACACAAAGCCGTGCGTAGAAGTGTGTATTTTTGACCGCAACGACACATACACACACACACACACGCGCGCGCATGGAGGAGACTCGATCGTCGTTTCCAGTGACGAGTAGTATCTTCGGAGCGCGACGATCGTCTTCTTAATCGGCGGTCGGGTCGCGCCCGCGCGATATTTTTGTCGCGCGCGCGCGCGCGCGCGTGATAAACGCGCTATTTTCTTCCGAAAATATCGCGCAGTTGGAACCTCGTGAGAGATCCGTCGTGCATGCGGATGCCTGGCTGCTGCTATGCACGAAGGCTAGACGCGACGAGACCGCGACGCCCCCTGCTCGAATTTGGCGAGGGTGACGAGAACTCCTCGGAGAGAGGGGAATGACGAATGTTCGAATCTACACGCGATCATCGGAACGGTTGATTTCCGCAAAGCCCGACGAGCTTCCACGAAATTAGTCTCCCTCGTGCAACTTAAATGTAGAAGAGGGGAGGGAGGCACAATGGAACGCATTGTCTCCCTAATATAACGGAACCGGTCGCCCACCATTGTTCAGAGGGCGTAAGAGCTTCCAGGAAATCCGGTCATACTCCTGGAGAGAGAGAGAGAGAGAGAGAGAGAGGGGGGGAGGGGAGGGGAGGAGGGAGAGAAAGAAGCACGTCTCGCATTTTACGGATAAACTGGAAAGAAAATGAAGATAAGGAAACGAGAGTCCTTCGCCGAATTCATGTATTGTACATTAACGCACTTTTCAAAAGGAAGCGTTCCTCCATTTTTCATAGCGACCGAGGCCTTTGCATTCGTGACGATCGACACGTATGTCGACTGGTCGGCAGGAGCCTTCCCCGAACGAGCAATATCCTTTCCTCCCGGCTTCGTTTCCCAGGCTGAACGTATAGATTTATGTCGCACGAGCGTTCCTCGGCCATTAGCAAGTTCTGAGAAATTCCATGTACCTAATCGCAATATCGCTCTATAAATACTCTCCTAATTGCGAGTATGTACTCGCGTTCGGTACAACGATAAGAGAGCGAGCGAGAAAGCGAGAGAGAGAGAGAGAGAGAGAGAAAGAAACGGTGCGAAAAGAGCGCGTTATCGCGCACGTTATCAACGGCGGAATTCATTTCAGCCGGCGGAACGCGTTTCACGAATGCGAAATTTCGATTTCCATAGAGAGCCGCTTCGTTATCTCGACAAACGTCAAAGTTTCATCGTTCCAGCGAAATATTCCGCTGAGTGGAAATCGCAGCTACTCTCGCTCTTAACGAACGTGCAATTGGACCGTGAGAGAATCGAAAAGAAGCCATTATGGATTCATTAATTCATTAATTGCCTTCATTGAATTCTTCGACCGGTGTCGACATTCATGTACGTCGAATTCATTTCCATTCGCCTCAAAACTCCATAGTCCATCTTAATTTACTCAAACAATTACTACTCAAACAACCACCGATATTACGCTATTGCAGATTGTAAAAAATGCTCGCCGTTCCCCTTTTCCGATAAAGCCAGACGGTCCCGGCTCGATTGAAATAATATCGCGCAGCCGGGCGAGACGTGGCTCTTTTGTTAAGAGACTCGTTTTGTACGGCATTCGCGAATGTGATCGAACCACCTGTGGAAGATACGGGGAGGGAGGGAGGGAGGGAGGGAGGAGGGGGGGAAGCACACGGGTAGAAGAGGACAGAACCGGGACTTGTAATTTACTTAGAAACTCGTTTCGCGGAACGGATTATTAAGTCCGGCGAGTAGAAAAAAGGGATCCGAGAGAGAGAGAGAGAGAGAGGGGGGGGGCTACGCAGAAAAAAAATAGACAAAAATAAAAACGAAGAAAAGAAAGGCGCATTTGCCGCAACCTCACTCGCTCAATTTCTTCCTTTTTTTTTTCTTGCGCCCTCCCCCTCTCCCTTTCTCTCCCAACCCCCTCGCGCTCCCTTTCTTTTCTACGTCTTTTTTATATGCTGGCCTGTGTTGTCCGGTCGCTCACACTCGCCCCTCGCGCGTTTCCACGACGTGAAAATGCAATTTGCCTCAGACTTGTACGATCGCTTCGTTCGAGGGTGAGGCGTCGAAGGGGTCGTGCGGCTTCACAACGGCGATAACGAAGATCCGAGTGACCGGTGCGTATCGGAAACACGCGCACGAATA